AGTCCCTCTCGTGAGCAGGGGGTGGCCCTTCCTGTCCAGGAACTCCCTGGAGTAGGGGAGGGGCAGCCTGACCCTGGCTTGGCACAGCCAAGGGTCGAATTGGCCGGGAACGCCCGTAAGCTTTCGCGCTTGCCTTCGGGTAGGGACTACCGGCCGCCGGTCACTGACTCTGTCAGTGATCCCGGCATTCCAGGTGGTGCTGTCGTTGGGGACAGTCTTGGTGCCGGGCCTGTTCTTTCGGGTTCAGGTCCTGGTGTGACTACAGACTTTCTTTCGGGATTGTCTGTGTCTAACGGGATTAGTGACGCGCAGCTCACTAATCCCGGCACCAATGCTGGTCAGGCTCACCCTCCCGGTCAGTTACTCGGACCCGGTCCTATTAGGTCCAGTCATGAGTTTCATTCTTCCAGGAACCTTAGGGGTTCCCCCCCAGGTGTTGGGTTTGCTGGACAGGGGGCCAGTTTCCGGCCTCCGTTTTCCCCTGGCTTAGGGTATACAGGTGCCTGTGGGCAACCCATCCTTGGGCCGCCCTTACCAGCCTGCGGATGGTTTTGGGTTGCGGCAGCATCCCGGCAGTTACGGGCTATACCCGTACATGTCCGGGTTTCCACCTGGAGGGAATGGCGAGTTGGCCAGCCCCAGTCTCAGGCAGGCCAGTTTGGCCAGTTCTGGGGTCACTCCCAGCCCGCGGGACCTTTCCCTTATCCTCCGGGATATGGGGTTAACCCCATGGCTTTTCCGTCGTGGAATCCTTGGGGTTTGGTCTCTCCCTCGCCGTGACAGGTTAGCAGTTCTGTTGACAACCCCCCCCCCCCCACCAACATTCTGCTACTTCTGGGGACTTATCGGCCGGTCCTAAGAAGGTGTGTCGGACCTTTAGGACTTCTGCCTCTCGGGCAGGCTCGTTGGACTCTGGGTCCAAGGGTAGGGTTTTGGCTACTAAGCCTAAACCTACAGCCACGGTCGTTAGGCGCACTGCACCAAATGCCGGTACGGGGAGCCTTCTCTCGAGTTGGCCCTTCTGGCTGGCCCATTTCCTCCGCCCGGGGCTTTTGGTCTGGAGGCTATGGATGTGGAGGGCGCGGGTATGGCAGAGGACGATGATGTTGTTCATCTTTCACCTGGTTGCTCGGATATAGACGCTGGTCTTTCCGAGTCGTCTCATGACGGTCTCATGACGGTCCTCAGGAGGGCTTGCCAGGATGAAGGTGACCCTGAGGCTGCTGAGGTTGTGGCCCAGCATGTGTTGTCCGGTATGTGGGGCCTTAGGGCTAACGTTTCATCTGTCCCCGAGTCCACCACCCTTTTGGGTTCTTTGGTGGCTCCTCGGGTGTCCGCTCGGTCAGACCGCTCTCTGCCAGAAAATATTCATCAATACTGGTACATGATCATGAGAATTGGAAAATTGAAGGCTGTAAACATGATGTTAAATGGCATATGATGGTAGATGGTGTGAATCCTAGTATAGTTTCAGTATAGTTTGTAACCCTGCTGAAAGTATGTGTGTTGATGTTCTAGCTGTGATATCGTCTATAATATAAAGCTCATTCCTGAGATAAACACACTCCCTGTTTACCAATATAAATTCTGCAAATTGCTTTATTTAAAAATAAGTTTCAAGTCTAATTTGTGTTTCCAGAGTGTGATGTAAAGATCATGAGTAAGAAGGGATCAAACGGCACTGTGAGATCACCAGGCTATCCTCGTGATTATCCTATCAACGTCACTTGTCGCTACTACCTAGACGGCATCAGTAATCAGTACAACTCGGAGAAGGTCATGGTGGCATTCACAGACTTTGAACTCTCTGGGTCCATGAACTCTGGAGTTATGACCTCGTAAGTCTCTATTCTGATGAATTGTAGCTAGCTCTTCTGGTTTCTGGCATTCATAGGCAATATGAATGCCAACTGAACAAAGAAAAATTCAATGAAAGTGCGCTAACACTTCATGTTGGATTTGCCTTGTTCCAATTGACATTCATGTTGCCTATGAATGCCAATTGAAGGCATTTCAATGTTTATTTTTGCCATTTTTGGAATCTTTCATCTCAAAGAAAAATTTAATTTCATTTATTGTTATTCAGCATTTATTTCAAATAATATATTTATTGTATATGCTTGTTGAAAATAAATAGAACAACCATCTCCAAGGGAGGGTCAGTGGTATCCAGCATATTATGACGTCATATAACGATTACGTCAAAATTCATAGGCGTTTGTAGCCTATATGAATGCCATTTGTGGTAGGTTACATAGTGGCAATGTCAAATATATACTGATAAACTAACAACTCATACATTGTCTGGTTCACCTTGGAGGACCAGTTATCAAGTTTATACGACCAGATATCCATGCTATCTGACAGTTTAACTTGAAACTACATGTTTAAATCTCTAGGTAGACTAGAGGCGCTCATCAAGTTTTGTTGTTTGATTTTTTTGGAGCTGTACTAGAGGCCACCTGCTTGTAGAGGGTCACAAGGATAACAACGGGTCAGAAAAGTTTTGTGGTACGCTGTTTCCTCCAAACCTCCACAGTAAGGATTCACGCATGGTGCTTACCCTCGATACCCACGGGGCCTACGCCAAAAGAGGATTCTCTGCCAATTTCGAGTTCATTATAGGTAAGCAGGCGATATGTAAAGATGTAAGATTCCTTGTGCACTCAATCCCTGTTTTTGATGGAGTCCCCATTTTGATTTTGTTTTGTGATTGACTTATCACTGCCTGAAAAGTGTATTATATCATATTTTGTGGATGTGCATTATGTCTTCAAATTTTAAGAATTTTTAAGGAATTATATGTTCAAGTAGAAATTATGGTAATGCTTTACATTAAGAATGACACCCATCTTGATTTTGTGTACTTGAATACCTGGTTGTTCATCCCAGCATTTTATCTGGTTGAATAAGTGCTAGGAATGGCTTGACGTGTTGATCGCTGCGGAGTTTGTAACATGATTGAAACCTTTAAGTTTTTGCTGTCAAGTCTAACGCCACTCATCCCTTAATTTTGTTGTATTTCCTTTCCTTTGGATTGTCCTGCACCCTATTTTTGTGTTTAAAGATGTTTTCATTTTGTATTTTCTTTATGTTATTCTCCAATGCCATCTTGATGTTTTTGTTACCAACCAAGAATGCTCAGGTCACCAAATGAAAAATGTTCTGACTCAGGTCTGGATTTTAACTCACATGATTGATCATGTGAGCTTTTGCTGTCCGGCTTCATCCATCATCCATTAACAATGGAACATGTTCAACTTTTACTCAAGAACCACTAAAGCAATTGACTCCAAACTTGGCACAAACATTCCTTACGAGGTGCTGACCGAGTATATTAAGTGTTGTAACTTTTTATTTGGATCTGAAAATCCATAATGGTTATCCTAGTCACTGATTGCCCAAGACTTTTTTAATTCTACTTAGAACAACTTAACAATTAAATTCAAACTTGGTGAAAGTGTTTCTATGATGTCCTGACCAAATGTTGTTATTTTCAAAGCCAATCTAAAAACTCCATGATGGCCACCCTGGCCTATGGTTGGCTGATGGAGACCTCTTCTACTTCCTGGCTGCAGAGTTGACTCCAAAGTCAGTACAAATGTTCCTTGTAAGGTGCTTGTAAAATGTTGTTGATTTTCTTACAGATTCAAAAATCCACAATGGTCTCCGATATCCTGTGACAGTGTTTATATCATCACCAGACTGTGACAATGTTTATATCATCTCCAGACTGTGACAATGTTTATATCTTCTTCAGACTGTGACAATGATTATATCATCTCCAGACTGTGACAATGTTTATATCATCTCCAGAACCGATACAGTAACTGACTACAAACTAAAGTGTTGAAGCCCGTTAAACTGTGTGAGCATTAAGATCCCATGGGCTTCTTGTTACACCTGTGAAAATTAAAATCAAAATGTAAGCTTTTATCTATTTTACAACAATTATGAAACTTATATTGATCAATTTTGTTGGCCCGGATGTTAGCATGAATGGGGGGTTTATGTGGGAGGAAATTGGAGCACCAAGGGAGAAAACCCACAGGCCTTTTCACGTCTGGTCAGGGAATTGAACCCCGGGCGCCTTGGTAAAAGGCGAGTGCGTACCAGTAATCCTCTGTGCTACTCGACCATCCATTTGAAAATGAAAATCAGCATGTAATTTGATGCAATTTTCCCTTGATCTGGATGTTGCCACTTTGATACCAATGTTAACAGCTACACGTATACACTGATTGTACCGCTTGTCTAAGATCAAATGTCCATACAATTTGTTGGTAGAGACTAATTGTTTTATATCAAGTAGGGTTGACCCCTGGAGTGACCTTACATACAATAGGGTTGACCCCTGGAGTGACCTTACATGCAGTAGGGTTGACCCCTGGAGTGACCTTACATGCAGTAGGGTTGACGCCTGGAGTGACCTTACATGCAGTAGGGCTGATCTATTGAGTGACTTTGACTTGTAGAATCAGAATTGTACATAGGATTACGGCCGCCTGCTAGCTTCAAGCTGGAAGGAATTTCCCTACTTCAATGTGCTGTTCATACCCAAATTGACATAGATATCTATCTATAACAAACACATATAATGGAGGATTGCCTTCCTGTTCATCAGGGGTAATTTCAGTATTAAAACTCTAAATTTTTGTAAAGATTGTAGATATTTTGTGACTTGCTGTTCTATGATTTGTATTACGACAGAAATAAAATTGTCTCTAAAAACAGAATCAAGTCTCCTTTTGCCACTGTTAATAAAAATGAAATTCTGATCCTTTTCGTTTTATCAAATTGGTTTTTTATTGCTTATTTTTCTGTCAGAGATTTTTGATCAGTGTCTAGTTTGAGTTTCTATGAACTTATTGTACCTGTCAATCCTAGACACATAGTCCTCAGTTAGACAGTTCTATATCATTACTGGCTCTCACAATCCATAAACCACCTCAAAACCTAAAGGTCTGCAATTACGAGGCAGACAACGAAACCATATTTTTTAAACGCAATATTTATCAAGAAAAAAATGTGGATTTGGTTTATTGATTCATTATTCATGATGCTTTAGAAAACTTTTGCTGAAAATTCCTGATTATATGTAATGGATAAGGGTGAACTTATATGATTGATTTAATTTGTAAAAGGTTTACAAGGTAAGCCAGGGCCTGACTTTCATTGACAAGATTTATAAGGGGTTTTGATGGGAAGTGGGGAATAACATTTTATCTAAATATCTGGTTATTTGAGAGTGGAGTAATGGTAAAAGAAAAGGAAAATAAAAAAAATCTGAATAAAACGGTTGATTTCACTGGATAGTGTAATTGTTAAAGCCCATCACAGTTCTAGTCACTATCCAACAGACACGTTTGATATTCTGCTGATACAGGGTCTAGGTTTATGGTAATGGTCCTGCTGAAATTCTATGTCTCCTACTTGACAAGATAAAAGTTGTTCACTCTATGATTCAAAAACAAATTATCAACCGTGCATAATAAAAAGTTAACTGAAATATCGAATGTTGTACTTCTGTCATCTTTGCTTCCTATTTCAAGGAAGCAAGGGATGGCAAGGGAGGTAATACATAGTTTTACTGGTTGTATTTGATATCCATGTGAGTTGTCAGGTTCTGGTTCAGTCTGAAAACATACCACACTGGATAACCAATGTGGCACCATAATAGAAGATCTATAAGATACTTATCTTCTACAATATTGATTATAAAGATGTCAACTTTTATTTGTGTAACTCTATAGGGACATGAGGATTCTGTTTTTTTCTTTGCAATAATATTGTTATGCAGAACTGAATAAAATCCCAATTAAACAATACTGGATGGAAGGAGATGAAAAAAAAAAACCAGGATAGAATTTTGTTTTGAATGGGAAAAGCTGCATGAATTACGCTGATGATAACCTGAGTGAATTATACCCTACACTCAATGGCATATTGGCATGTCTAGTAATCCCACTCCATTGTTATGTTTATTTCTTGCAGTGGAAGATGCAGCATTTCCCTACAAATGGCCAGTCCTCCTTACCCTGTCAATATTGATCTCCGACCTACCCTATATATGTCACTATTGTTCCTCAGTCTGCACTCACTTTTCAGAAATTCAGTGCTGACAAAAAGATCGAGTTCCATGAATATCTATATGCGGTTTTTTATTTGAATGCCTGTCATATTAGTCCCAACATCTATTAATATTGTTCCGATGATGACATTATTTAAATTTTTATTTACTATTTAAAACCTTGATTACACTTCAAGTGGCTATCAAATATAGTTTAGATGATATGACAATGTTAACATTTTTATTTAGTTATTTAAGTCTAGATTGAAATTCTAATGGATATAAAATATAGTGTATCATATATCACTCAACAGATTAAAACATCGCTATCTTAGTAATTAAAGACACCTACGTACCTTTAGATTATTCTAAGAGGCCCTAATAAGCTTTTGTTGTGTCAGCGCCATAGATGTCTGTCTGTCCATCATTAAGGCTTAGATTTATTGACAACATTTCTACACTAGGATATTTTAATGAAAGGTCAGAAACAGCCGTAGGACATAATTCTTTGAAATGATTTAAAATTCGACATGCTACATCCATTGGCATTTTACATGATAGAAAACCTCCAGTTGAAGATTGAATTTATTCAAATGATGCCACAGGACATATCCAAGATCTCTAAATACTACCTGGCCATATAAACAGGTATTAAACAGCTTTTGAAAATAAATCTGATGAAAAAATAATTTTAATAAAGGCATGATCAGCTGTAGTCCATGTTCACGGAAGTTTTTGGATCAATTCCTGTCTGTTCTGTTGTAACCTTGGAATTGCTGAAAAAGATATTAGGATGAAAATTATACCATACATTTCCACTAAAGATTATATAATCTATATACATTCAGGACAGTGTTTTTCAGAAAACCTTCTTAGGAACTGTGATCAAAGTTTTGAAGTCTTATGTCTATTACAGATGGAGTTTTTACTCTAAATAGTGTTACATTCTGGCCCCAGCTACTCATAGTTTGGTTAGAGTTACCCAGGGGTTAGGGGAGTTTTTACTCTAAAAGATGTTATATTCTGGGCCCGGCTATTCATAGTATGGTTAGAGTTACCCAGGGGTTAGGGGAGTTTTTACTCTAAAGAGTGTTACAGTCTGGGCCCGGCTTNGTGTTACATTCTGGGCCCGGCTACTCATAGTTTGGTTAGAGTTACCTAGTGGTTAGGGGAGTTTTTACTCTAAAGAGTGTTACATTCTGGCCCCGGCTACTCATAGTTTGGTTAGAGTTACCCAGTGGTTAGGGGAGTTTTTACTCTAAAGAATGTTACATTCTGGGCCCGGCTACTCATAGTTTGGATAGAGTTACCCAGTGGTTAGTGGAGTTTTTACTCTAAAGAGTATTACATTCTGGCCCCGGCTGCTCATAGTTTGGTTAGAGTTCCCTAGTGGTTAGGGGAGTTTTTCCTCTAAAGAGTGTTACATTCTGGCCCCTGCTACTCATAGTTTGGTTAGTGTTACCCAGTGGTTAGGGGCGTTTTTACTCTTTAGAGTGTTACATTCTGGGCCCAGCTACTTATAGTTTGGTTAGAGTTACCAAGTGGTTAGGGGAGT